CCCCCTGGTGTAACAGAGGAGAACTGCCCCACAGGGTTTCCTAGGCTGTCATCTATTGTGTCACTATATGCTCATATTGAGTCGGAACCAACTCCACGGCACATTCAACAACAACAACAACTGTAATATATCATCCACTCACTGTGCCCCCTGGTGTGACAGAGGAGAACTGCCCCACAGGGTTTCCTAGGCTGTCATCTGTACTAGAGCAAATTGCCAGCTTTGTCTTCTGATGAGCCCCAGGGTGGGTTCAAACAACTGACTTTTCTTAACAGCTGAGCACTTAACGGTTGCACCACCAGGATCCTTGGCTTTGCCTACAGGCAGCCTTTTAAGTGAAATCGAATTGCATCTGCAGTCCTATTCAGTGGCATTGACAATTTCCCTGATACGCTCCAGCTCGGTAAAAGGGATGTACTGTGCGCAGTGTGTTGTATTCACAGGGGTCCTTTTGTTCTGGTCTTCGTTTAGCTTACGTACTGGACGGCGTCGACCTTCGTGGCTACTTTGCTTACTCGTTGAGTGATCGCACGGCTCCAGGCTTCGGTTTCTATCGTTCTGTTGCGGATCAACTGGAGCCCAAACTATCCGTGAGTCATTACAGGAAGATCATTGACAACAACGGGTTCCCGGGCCCCGAGAGTCTGCGGAGGTTTTGTCCAGAAGAATCGGCCGTGTGCACGGAGTGTGGCTTCTTTGAAACGCGTAAGACTCTCCTGGCATTCTTAGCGTTTCTGCTCCTTGCATTTGTGATTTCTCTGTCCCTTATTTTTTACTACTCTAAGAAAAGTCGAAGGAGGTACAAATAATGCAGACTGTCTTCCGATTTGATTTTGAAATAATTATGCACACACCCCCTGGGTGCCGTTTGCACTTGTCAATCTTGTGACAACCTTTTGTTGTTGTTGCTAAATGCCGAGTCACTTCTGATTTACAGCGAGGAGCGGCTAGCGAGTTTGAACCGCCGACCTTGTGGTTAGCAATCCAATGCTTATCCTACAGGACCGTACTGGATTCCTTTTGACAATGTAGCTGTCCTTTATCTGACCTTGAGAAAACTTGTGTGTGGCACACGACAGAGGGTTAGAAATGACCGTTCTGTTGGTGCTGTTGTTAGTGGTAATGTGTTGATTTCTACACGTAGCAATGTCACGTGACAGAATGGACTGTCCTGGGGGTTTTGCTAAGCTACTCATCTTCATGGGAGCAGACCACCAGCTCTTTCTTTCATGGAACCGTCAGCCTTTCAGTTAGCAGCCCAACGTTTAATCATAGGTGATTATCAAATATTGAATCAAGTGAATGAGAACTGGATTTGTTCTCTTTCAAACTACAGTGATACCAAACCCTGCACCATTGAGTTGATTCTGACTCAAAGTCATCTTGTACATGGTTTCCAAGACTGGAAGTCTTTACAAAACAGACAGCTTCAACTTTCTCCCAAGGAACGGCTGGTGGGTTTGAACCGCTGCTCTTGTGGTCAGCAGTCCAACATCCACCCTTCTGTGCCAGTTCCTTCAGATAATGAAAAAACTGACAACCACCATCACTTCCGAACACATTTCACTAGAGACATGTAAAACAGAAGTCATGGTACTGCTAAGCTCTTCCAGGATTTCAATGACAAACTTAACAAATATTTTATGTGCACCTGTTTCTACGTGTAATCTTTTCCTTGCAGGAGCCACTGGAAGTGCTAGAATAAAAAGTTAACTCCAAATAACCACCTCCCGCAAAGATTTAGAGCTCCGGAAATCCTATACAGGGGGCGATGAGTCAGAACCGACTCTAAGGCACTTCACAACAACTGTGTGGTGATTCCTAACAGCTTTCCCACGAGTGAGGAGATGCGGATATTGAAGAGATGACAAAAGTTGACATGCTTCATTAAAAGCCAGTGTTTCTATGAAATACTGTTACTGCTAACACACACAGCTGGTTTATGGCACACTTAGCAGGGAAAATTGGAGGATCTCATGTTTTATGTAATTTTGTTGTTGGTAAGTGCTGTCGAGTCGGTTCCAACCCATAGCGACCCTGTATAGGGTTTCCGAGGCTGTAAATCTTTACGGGAGCAGAAAGCCTCATCTTTCTCCCATGGAGCGGCTGGTAGTTTCGAACTGGCTGACTTTAAGGTTCACAGCCTGATTCATAACCACTATGCTACTAGAGCTCCTTTGGAGGAGGCTTAATTAGCATCCACAAACCACACCCACTGTCATGAAGTTGGTTCTGGCTCGTTAGCGACTCCTACAGGATCAAAGAGCACCTGCTTCCCAGGGTTTCTTACGCTGCAAATCTTTACGGAAGCAGACTGCCTCATCTCTCTCCTGAGATATGGCTGCTGGGTTCGATCACCTGAACCTGGGGTAACCCACTGTGCCCCTGGTGGTAGAGAGCACAGCTAAGCTTCTCAGGGTTTCTTGGTTGTAGCCCCTGGCGGCGCAGTGTTTAAGCACTCGGCTATGAACAGAAAGCTCAGGGGTTCAGATCCTCTCAGAAGCTCTATGGGAGGAAGCCCTGGAGACCTGCTTCTGTTAAGATGACTAGAAAGCCCTACAGGGCAGTTTTGCTCTGTCAAATGGGGTCACTGTGAATTGGAATCGACTTGACGGTGCCTAACAACAACAACAACAACAACAGCCGCAGCAACTTGTATGGAAGCCGATTGCTAGGCTTGTCTTCCATGGCGATGCTGCGTGGTTTGAACCACCAGCCGGTTTTGCTTGGGTCCTCAAGGAGGAGACTTTACCAGCGTCTGCAAAACAATCAACTAGGGTCTGGAGATGCTGGGCTCCTGGGAGGCATAAACCTCAAGAAATGCTCCCTGTCACCGCCGCCGTTCTGGGAGGGCCAGCCAGGGGTGGGGGTGGGGGATGGTGGCAGGTGCTCACCGTGAGCACTGTGATGACCTGTTGGGTTCGAAATCCCTTTATTTTGGAGCTGACTTGGGACAGACGCAACTTCCCTTAAGCGGATAAGAACAAAACAACAACATGTCTACTTCCTAGTCTTTACAATGTGACATTTCTTTTCATTTATAGTTTGTAAAACCCCTGATAGATTCCCAAAGCATCTATTACGTTGAGGCTGGAAGACGGGTTTGGTGGTTCCCAAGACATGTTTGGGTCCTCAAGGAGGAGAAAAACGGCTGGTGGTTCAAACCACCCAGCTCCTTCTGTGGAACTATCTTGGAGCTCGAATGGTTTTGAAGGTGAACATCAGAACATACTACTAAAGGGCTAATTTGGTTCTACCCTTTAAACCTACCCACTATGCTGAGTCGATCATGACTCCAAACACCCCTGTCGGATGGAGCAGATCCGCTCCTCAGGGGTTCTGACACTGTACATCTTCACAGGAGCACACAAACTCCTTATTCTCCCACAGAGCAGCTGCTGAGTTCGAACCTCCAACTTTGTGGTTAGGAGCCGAATGCTTATCCCCCAGTGTGCCACCGGGGCTTTTTAACAGCCTATACCTAAATCCCGCTGATTCGGAGGTAAGGAAGTGACTTCATTTCATTGGCGTATCAGAGGGTCTGAAAGCTTCTTTTATAGATAAATCGGCATCTCATAAGAACTAACGCGGAGTAAAGGCACAACATCAAACAGGGCGGACATTCTCTGGCATCTGGAGAGGTAGTATGGTTTGGGGTTTGACAAAGAAGTAAGCTTTTCAGTGGAATTCTCTTAAAAATTAAAGTTCTGACTTAAATCAGGAACTAGAAAAACAATAGTTTCTCTATGTATATATTTTTCTGATTATAGAGTAATATATGTTCACTGTAAAAATATTTAAAATGCAGAAATTCTATATAAAGAAAAGTAAAAATGATCTGTCATCTCACAACATGGAGGTAGCCCATATGAGTTCTATGTATTTTCTAACATATTCTATGAACCGAGAATCAGAGCGTATTTTATAGAATTATGTATTTTCTGTGATTAATGTTTACTGTGAACATTCCTGTTGTCAGTTTTAATAGTTGTATTGTATTCCTCTCTATGAATTTATCACACTTACTTAATTATACCCTTCTGTTGTAATTTCTTATTGTCAATAACTGCTCGATAATGAATTTTTAAAAATATATTTTCTTCCTACAATATTCAGTATATGCTTTGATTTATTTAAGTGTAAACCAAAATGCAAACATTCTTGTCAAGTCAGTTCTGACTCTTATCA